TACAGTGACTCTGTGTATTCCTTCCATCTTCTCTTGATGCTTTCTGCATCATTCAATAATTTGCCCAGAGAATCCTTCAATAATGAAAATCGAGACTTGAAATTTTTCTTCAGTTCCCTTAGCTTGAGAAAATCTGAGCGTGTTCTTCCCTTTTGGTTCTCTAACTCTAGATCTTTACACATTTCGTTATAATATTTGATTTTGTCTTCTTGAGCTGACCTTTGAAATTTTCTGTTCAGTTCTTCTATCTCCTCATTTCTTCCATTTGCTTTAGCATCTCTATGCTGGAAAGCAAGTTTCAGAGTCTCTTCTGACATCCATTTTGATCTTTTCCTTCTTTCTGGTCTTCACAATGACTTTTTGCTTTCTTGCTGTATGATGTCATCCCACAACTCTTCTGGTCTTTGGTCTTTAGTGTTTAATGTATCAAATCTGTTCTTCAGATGATCTCTAAATTCAGATGGGATATATTCAATGACGTATTTTGGCTCTCATGGACTTGTTTTCATTTTTTTCAGCTTCAGTTTGAATTCACATATGAGAAATTGATGGTCTCTTCCACAATCTGCCCCTGGCCTTGTTTTAGCTGATAATATGGAGCTTTTCCATCATTTCTTTCCACAGATGTAGTCAATCTGATTTCTGTGTATTCCATCTGGTGAGGTCCATGTTCTTCAGAGGGTGAGAAAAGACACTTCAAAACTGGGGTTTATGGAGTAAAGGAGGGTGGTGGTCTGGAAGAGATGGTAAGCAGCAAGAGGTGTGGATGCCTGGGCCCAGTGATAGGAGGAAGTAGGGGAGAAACAAAGACCACTGAGGACAGACTATGTCCATGGTCAGGAGCAGGTTTCTGTATGAAGGTCAAGGAAATATTCATGCAAATGTTGTAGCATGAAATTCCAAAGGAGTGGGAAGATGAGACATGGGGTCGGATTAGAAGATGAGAATTCAGGGGGTGAGAGTCTGGGGCCTGAGATGCCTCCTGGGAGCCTTGGGTTGTCTATGATCATGGGTATAAACAAGGATGAGGGACATGAATGGAGCATCATGGCCACAGAGCCGTGGTGAGGCTGCACGTATGGGCTAGGCGGAAATGGAGTGTTGCCAGGAGCCTGAAGGTCTTTGAGGGCCTCTCAACTGTAAAATGGGGATCACGGTAACTGCTGTGATGAGCATCAGAGAGTCAGGTTCTGAGTAGGGGTCAGGTTTCCTGTAACTGTGATCATTGTCATTATTGTCAATGTAGGCAGTTGTTGGTTGGAGAGTAACCCCAGCAGGGATTAGGGATGGGAATGTGACTTCTCTAGAGATATGTAAAAAGGTGTGGGCCTGTGAGTGGACTTGACCTTGGCTGAGCTCTGGGGAACAGCACAGGGGAGCCTCCACATGTAAGGGAGGGAGAAGTACCGACTTGTAGTTCTCTTGTCAACCTCTAAGCTGTGGCATCCTGGAGTCTAGCACAGTGCCTGACACTGAGCAGAGCGCAAGCAAGGTTCATGCTCATTCAAGGGAAGAGGACAAGATGCCCCCCTAGAGACCTTGTCAGTTTAGCTACAGAATCTGACTCTGGAGTGTTGAACTGGGGACAGGTGGGGGACAGGTGGGACTGAGCAGCCCGTGGTGATGAGCAGTGAAGGTAGTCAGAGGTGGTTGGCCATGTGAATGACCTTTTGGATCGGGAGGCTGGATGTGTCAGAGCAGGAAGAGACTTGGGGGTGGGGTGAGTGTTTACCCCAGTTCAGAAATTTGCTGTCTATACCTCTGAAGCCCTGGAGTCCTGGGAAGTGCCTTAGAGACCACTGTCGGAGTGAAGTTGTTAAACCACCCTGCTCGGGTCTCATCCCTGTTCCTCCCCACACCCCCACTCCTCAGCTTCAACAAACCCACTCCCCTTTTGTCTGCTTATGTTCTGGGTCCAACGTGAGTTTTCATTTGACAAAACGTCTAGGCAGCTTAAACAAAGCCTAACATCCCTCTCTCTGGTCCAACCCATTATGGTACAGATGGGAAGACTGAGGTCTGAGAGAGACTATGTGCTCAGCGTGGGTCACATGGGGAATCAGTGGCGAGGTGGGCTGGAGGCCAGGAGGCCTGATGTCCAGCAACAGTTGGTCTCCTCACCAGTGACCACTAACACTGCTAGGGTGCTGTCTGAATATCCCCTCCTCCATTCTGGCTCCCTCTTCTTTCCTCTGCAGAGATGTGCCCAAGGGGGCTAAGACCTTTGGGGTCTCTGGAAGCTCTGGGGTGGAGGTCTTTGTGGTCTACAACCCAGCACGGGTGGCAGAGCCCACAGGCAAGGACCACTGGCCCCTGGACACTGACGTGGATGTAGCTGTATCTGTGGGTGCAGCCAGTAAGAACTTAAATGATCTCAAGGTAAGAGAACATTTCCCCATGGCCAAGAGCTGGATCCCCTACCCTGCACCCTCCATACTGTACCCCAGATGCCTACCACCCACTCAACAAAATGCCACAAAGCATTTCACACTTATATCCACATAACATGTCCTAATACAACCTCATAGTCACCAAACCATACACACCCACCCAGAACCACAATGTCACACACACACACACACACACATTCACAGGAATGTTATAGTCAGTTGCTATCGAGTTGGGCCCCAACTCATGGCAACCCGTCACACTATGGTGAGATGCTGAGGTGCCTGAACTTGCGCCACCCTGCGTCCATAGCAGATCAGATGGTTTTCATTGGTTCATTTTTTGGAAGCAGATCATCAGACTCTTCTTTCTTGTTCTTAATCTGGAAGCTCCGCTGAAACCTGATCAATACCAGGTTGTTGTTATTGTTGTGGGTCATCAAGTGGGTTCTGACTCATAGCAACCCTGCACAGGGCTTCTGAAAACACCTGTGGGTTTGAACCACCAACCTTGTGGTTAGCATCCCAGAGCTTATTCTCCTGAATCTCACCAGAGGGCTTGTTCAATACATCATTGTTGTTGTTGTTGTTGAGTGCTGTCGAGTAGATTCCAACCCATACCGACCCTGTGTAGGGTTTCCAAGGAGCAGCTGGTGAGCTTGAACCACCGACCATGCAGTTTAAACGGCTTTGCAGTCTGGTGCGTTAACCCACAGCGCCACACCAGGACTCCTGTTCAATACTTTTGTTGTTGTTGTTATGTGCCGTGGAGTTGTTTCCAACTCATAGCGACCCTGTACAGGGTTTCTGAGGCTGCAAATCTTTACGGGAGCAGAAAGCCTCATCTTTCTCCCACAGAGCAGCTGGTAGTTTAGAACTGTTGACCTTGCGGTTCACAGCCTGATTCGTAACCACTACGCTACCAGAGCTCCTTGTTCAATACTTTAGCAACTTGCAAACCTCCTCTGGCAAATGAATGGTGGCTGTATCCAGGGTGCACGGGCTGAGAATCAAGCCCAGGTCTTCTGCACAGAAGATGAAAATCCTACCACTGAACCACCATAGCCTGTATTCAACCAACACACAGTCTCCCACAAATTGCAAACCCCCTTAGAGGCAGGATCCCGTGACTCCCCCCTCTTCTCACACACAAGCAGACACCTGTACATACCTTTATGTCGTCATGTCTCCCCCACCTAAACAAACCTTCTCTTATGCATCCCTAAGCATGGATGATAGCCCCTTATACCACACCCTCAGTAATCTGATGAATAGCTGGCATGCCTCTCTCTGATGGACAGAGAAAGGGCCAACTGTGCAGTTGAGAGCGAGGTCTAGTCCCATCTCCCCTGTTTACTAATGACTGACTGCAGGCAGGGCATTAGCAGTTTCACTACGAATGTGCTTTGTCTACTGGGGCCACCCTAGGACTAGCTGAGAGTACTTGGGTTCTGGACCATGGTAAAAGTTTAGTGACCATTGGCTGTTATTGTAGGGATTGGAACTATTGTTCCCTTTTACAGATGGAGAAACAAAGGCCTAGAGAAGTTGAGTAACTTTTCTAAGTTAAGGTGACAGCTGCTTTTTTCCTGGTTCTCTGCCTCTCTGACATCCCCTCCCACCCTGCCTCTTCCCCTTTGCGCCTCACACCAGCTCTGGAAATGGAGTATCCATAGACTATAGCTGTAGCAAACACCTCTGATGCCAAGCTGGAAGCCCAGGAATCTTGGGACTTCAGAGCAGAGAGTACCTGGAGGTCTCCACCCCTGCCTTCCGCTAACAAGGGCTGCTGGGGTGTGTCCCTTAACCCCACTGCCATCTCTGAAAGGAATGACCAGGCCAGCTTAGGGTTGACCATATCCCCACAGGTGAAGGTCTCCTACTTTGGGCAGCGTGAGGACGGTGCCCTGGGTCACGCGGTGCTCTACCTCACTGGCATTGGTAAGTACTACCTCTCTGGCTCTCCATCTATTTCCTAGACCCTCCAGGTTGGGTCTCTGAGGATCTTAAGAGAGCCCCCTGATCTTCCTGAGTGGAAGGCTCTTGGCCAGCATTCTCCACCAGTGATGGAGCTTGGTTTCTTCAGGGATCTTCCATTCTCTCTGAACCTAGTGATATGTAGGACCACAAGAAACTGGAAACATCACTGCCCTTGGGCCAACAGTTGGCCCATAATAGTCCTCTGTCATCCAGAGTTCCACATACCACCCCTACTGGAACCTCAAGATTCTACTCCAAGAACCTCAGAGAGTCATGTTCTTCCTTTAACCAGCTCCAGAAATGCAGAATTTAGAAACTTAGGGTCCAATCACAAATCATCAATCCCCAGAGGCAAGGACCACCAACACAGGAATTAGAAGCCAAGAACCAGCAATTCAAGTGGCACAGACAAAATAATTCAAAAGCCCAAGATTCTGGGTGGTCACCCACACTAAGAATCTCAGGGGGCTGCCGCAAGTGTTTCCAGCTCTGGATATGGTCCCCAGAGCAGGGCATTGTGGGAAAGTTTGCCCTGCTCTGGACATCATGGACATGAAGACAGTCCTTCTCCATTCCTTTGTAGATGTCTCCCTTGATGTGGACACGAGCCGCGTGGGCAAGGTGAAGAGGAGCCAAGGTGACAAGGTTAGACTCTCCTAGCTACCTACCTTAAGATTGCAGAGATGGCTAACTCACCTGAGATGGTCTTGGTATGGGATGTGGTATCCAATAATGGCTTATTGTTGTTGTTGTTGTGAAGTGCTGTAAGTAACCTATACAACCCATAGTGACCCTGTATAGGGTTTTCCAGGAGCAGCTGGTGAGCTTGAACCCCCAACCTTGCAGTTCAAACAGCGTCGCAGTCTCACGCATTAGCCCACAGTGCCACACCAGGACTCCCAACAATGGCTTGGTGGTGGTTATGTGCTATGGAGTCAATTCCGACTCATAGTGACCCTGTACAGGGCTTCTGAGGCTGTAAATGTTTACCGGAGCAGAAAGCCTCATCTTTCTCCCACAGAACAGCTGGTAGTTTTGAACTGCTGACTTGCAGTTCACAGCCCAATTCGTAACCACTACGCTACCAGAGCTCCTTAACAATGGCTTAGGGGACTTTAATGAATGGGCATTAATTAACTCATGCTCTGTGGCTCCTGGAAAACAGCTCACATTATGCCACCTTGGAATGGGGATTGGTCTTTGGACTTCCAAACATGGTAGGTGCTTCATAAATGGTTGTTGGATAACTGAAAGAAAACAAAGAGGAGACAGGGCTATTCCTAGGGGCTTGGTTGGAGGATGGCTGAGGCCCCTGGTAGAGGAGGCTGTGGTGGTCTCCTTGCAGAGCCTACAGGACTATGGATGGATGTCAGCCTGTCCTTTCAGGGGTCTCTGTGGGGCTGGCCCCTGGAGGATGCTGAACAGGTCTCCCAGAGGTTCTTCAGCCTCTCACCCCCATCAAGGTCAAGGTGGAGTAGCTCTGTCCCACACGCAGGGCCAAGCTCAGTAACTGGTTGGTTGTTGTTATCTGCCGTGGAGTCGATTCCGACTCATAGCGACCCTATACAGGGTTTCCGAGGCTGTAAATCTTTACGGGAGCAGAACGTCTCATCTTTCTCCCATGGAACAGCTGGTAGTTTCGTACTGCTGATCTTGAGGTTCACAGCCCGATTCGTAAGCACTACGCTACCAGAGCTCAGTGACTAGGAAGGGCCATTTCTGGCTGTGCCAGTGTGAAGGCCGGGCAGAGTCACTGGATATGGTTCGGCAGGCTGTTCACTGCATTGGGCCTGGTGCTTCAGTCCCCAGCCAACAATCCCTGTTGAAATCTTTAAGCAAACCCAAATTATAAGAGTCATCAAACTAATAAAGTAGCCAGGTCCTGGCCATGTCCAGAGCCCCTTCTAGGGTCCCTCTGATACTGATGTTTCTTGTGTGGCTGTAGAAAACCTGGCGCTGGGGTCCTGAAGGCTATGGGGCTGTCCTGCTGGTGAACTGTGACCGGGACAGTCCCAGGTTCAAGGACCCCGACTACACCAACAACCAGCTGGACTCACTGACTGGTGAGTGACAGAGGGCTTGTATGGGGCTGTGAGGGTGGGGTGGAGGGTAATGTCTCAAGGGGCCATTTTTCCCAGACCTGCAGGACATGTCCCCAGTGGTGTTGAGCTGTGATGGCCCCGATGAGATCTTTGACAACCACAAGCTGGTCTTGAAAATACCCTCGTCTGATTCCAGAAGAGTGGGGGTCTTCTGCGCTCGGGGTGAGTGGCCTGGTCATGGCTTTTCCCTCCCAGTACCATCTGTTCCTTCCCAAACCTTTTCTTTTCTTTCTTCCCACATTGGTTCCTTTCTTGTTCCAACTTTCTGTAACCCTAACTACAGCTGACAAACAGCCAACACACTAATACCCAACATAAAGAACCCCAGACCAAGCTCCTTGCTATGCACTGATGACAACTTCTGGTGAGCCCCATGTGTTCTGAAGTAGAACTGCTCACTAGGGTTTGCTTGGCTTTAATCTGTATGGAAGCAGATTATTGGTTTTGGTTTTTGCCATGGTTGTATTCAAACCACCAATATTTAACTTAGTTGTTATGTGACACTGAGTCAATTTTGACCCACAATGACCCTGTAAGACAGAATAGAACTGACTCGTAGGATTTCTAGGTTGTCATCTTTACGGGAGCAGTTTACCAGCATTTTCTGCCATGGAGTGGATGGTAGGTTCAAACTGCTGGCCTTTCGGTTAGCAGCTGAGTATTAGCCATTGCAACCTCGGGATTCCTTTGGGATTCGTCGTGGTGGTGGTTATGTACCGTGGAGTCGGTTCAGACTCATAGCAACCCTGTATAGGGTTTCCAAGGCTGTAAATCTTTATGGGAGCACAAAGCCTCATCTTTCTCCCGTGAAACAGCTGGTGGTTTCGAACTGCTGACCTTGCAGTTCACAGCCCGATTCGTAACCACTATGAGGGCATAAATCATTTGCTCCCCTGGGACTATAGTACACTACATAGAAAGAAGTTCAACAACTAGCCCCATTTTACAGAGAGGGAAACTGAGGTTCCGATACATGAATTTACTATCTTAAGGTCACACATCTAGTTGAGGGTAGAGCAGGCATTTGAACTCAGGTCTCTTGGGCACCAACACTCTCCTCTCTCCACTGTCTCAATCTTGTCCTCTTCTCTGGTTACTCAGCATGGACCAGTTGCACGCACCAGTGGGGGTTGGGAAGACAGCTTGCCTACACCCAGACATACTGTCAGCGTTTTTATTAATCAAAGTCTGTGACTTATAAAAACACCTACCAGTCCTAGACCCTGAAGTGCCCTTACTCATTTTCATAAATAGAAAGACGCATCTCCTGCCTCTTCATCTTTCCCCATCACCCCTCTTGGGTCAGATTGAGCCAAAACTTGTTCAGCTATCAGCCTGGCAGAAACTGGGATGTTTGTTTGTGTGCACCAAGAGGGATGTGCAGGTAGAGGTCCCGACGTGAAAACACTTAGTGTCCTGCCAGCAGCACACAGTCTGAGCAGGTGACTTCACGACCCTTCCCACTGTGAACAAGAGTGACAGGGTGACATTTCCCAGCAGCCCTCAGGGGAAGGGGACAGAGGCTAAAGTAACTGCCAGCCAGAGGCTTTTATCTGCTTCCTGGTTTAAAGCATGCACCGATCCCATAAGAAATGCACTATCGGTCCATTTTACAGATGAAGAACTAAGGCTCAGAGAGTTTGTGCACTGAGCCAAGGTCACACAGCTCATGTGCAGCAGAGCTGGAGACGAACCCCTGACTCTCGTTCTTCTAGGTGGGGATTCCCTCGCAAACTACAAGCAGGTGCTGGGACCCAACCACCTGTCCTACGAGGTGGAGCGGCAGCCAGGAGAGCGGGAGATCAGCTTCTATGTGGAGGGGCTCACCTTCCCAGACACCGATTTCTTGGGGATGGTCTCCCTCAGCATCAGCCTGGTAGACATGGCAGTGAGTACAACACCGGGGTTGGAATGGAGCTGAGGTGAGGGACTCGGGGGACCACTGTGGAGCTCTGGGGCTGGACAGACTGGGGCTTCTTTCAAGGTCCATGAGTTCTCCTCTCACCCATAGACCCTGCCCGAGGTACACCTCTTCACAGACAAGGTGGCTTTCCGTCTGGCCCCCTGGATCATGACCCCCAACACCCAGCCCCCACTGGAGCTGTATGTGTGCAGGTGAGCACCCTCAATGCCAGGTCCAGCTGTGGACTTGCAGAGCTATGAAGGTAAATGCGGAGCCAGGGTCCAGTCACACACTCAGTCTGGGCGGTGGATCCTTTGAGGCTACCTGGGGATCAGAGCTGAGTACATGGGAGCAGTGGGCAGGTTTGGGTTGTTAACTGCTCCCTCCCTTGCCCTGAGCAAGGTCAAGCTCTGCAGTTTCTGCCACCATATTAGCATCCCCTCTCCCATCCTGCAGCAGCCCCCCTCATCTTGGATTTAGTCTGAGCAGTGGGGTGGGGCGCTGGTGGCTGCTGGTGGACACAGGAGACAGAGCCCTCACTTGGACATGGGTGTGTACTCTTGTGCCTACTGAGAACACCATAACCAGCCTCCTGGACCCACAATGAGTCCTGGCTAAGCTGGATCCCTGGCCAGCTGCCATTCGTGAGAATACTTGTCAGGTCCTGGTAAAGGAGAGCTGGGCAAGGCCACTCCAGGCCTCTTGGTCAGAGTGGAAAGGGAATTGAACGTGAGTCAGAAGTCCGAGAAGAGGGTGGCCAAACAGGTTTGCTCCCCTCACCTGAGCTCACATGCACGCAGGTGTTCAAAGGGGATCCTGTCTTTCTTTTTGCTTACTCATCCTACCTCTACCACCTTAGCAAGTAAGTTCCAACCTCCAGGTCACCTCCTCCAGGCACACCTCCCTGACTGCACACTTAGGAATCCCACTGCTGACTCCACAGTCTCCCCTATCACCAGATGGAATCTGGGGACATTATTTGTTTCCCCTATTGGCCCTAGGTCAGAGACTATGTCTGGACCCCAGTGTCCCGGGGTCCCATAGAGTTTAGCACAGACTGAATCAAGAACACCTTTGCCTCCAGGCCCCAAGGGCACAGCCATGGGCATTATCCCATTATCCCATGTCTACTTCCTGTCTTCTGCAGTGTGGTAGATGATCATGGCTCCAACAAGACGTTTTTGGACGACATGTCTGATCTGGCGTTGAAAGCCAACTGCAAGCTGGTTGTCTGCCCTAAAATCGAAAATCGGAATGACCGCTGGATCCAGGTAGGGACAGGATCAGAGACCGGGTCCCTGGTCCTTCTCTGGGTTTTGGGGTGGATTCCTAACCAGCCTCCTCTCCTTGGAGAAAACAAGCCAGTCTGGGTGCTGGGACTCAGGGCAAGTAGCTGGGACTCAGGGAAGGCGTCCCTGCTGCCCTCTACATACTCCGGTCCCAGACCGGAGTCCTCTTTTGGTCCTAAAAGATCTCACCTCTACTCCTTACTCCTAGCCCACTGCCAGGTCATACCCCTTGTCTTGGACCTGGTGGGACCCCTGTTCTGTTCTATAAATGCCACTGAGAAGGCCACTGTGGGTTTTTCCCTTCCCGTCCCAGGATGAGATGGAGTTTGGCTACATCGAGGCTCCTCACAAATCCTTCCCGGTGGTCTTTGACTCTCCCCGAAACAGAGGCCTGAAGGATTTCCCCTATAAGAAGATTCTGGTATGTGGTTGAGGGCAAAGTGGGAACCCTCTTGTATGACACATCCCAATCAGTCTCACCTAACCATCCCCATGTGTGTCAGAGTAGAACTAGGCTCCAAAGGGTTTTTGATGGCTGGTTTGTCAGAAGTAAATCTGGATTTGAACCTCCAGCTCTTCATTTGGCAGCCAAGTGCATTAACTGCACCACCTAGGGACTCCCAGTCTGACCTGGGTCTGGTCTGTGAAGACCTGGAGACCAGGATGCAGGGATGGGTGAGGGTGGGAGATAACCTGTCAGCAAACTGGGGAGCTACTGTGTGGGCAGGAGATGCAAATGACATGCAAATAGGAAACCATCCAGATGGGTTCTGGGAAAGGCAGGACATCAAAGTTTCCCTTTAAAGGGGCCTGCCCCCCAGGGAGAATAGATGATGGAATCAGTCCTTGGGAAAACTCATCTGCCCTTGGGAGGAATGTCCCCTTAGTGAGGTTTATTGTTCTTTTGTTTGTAAGACCCAAAGACCTCGCTTTTGTAACAAATGTCTTCTGATTACCTACTGTGCACCAGGCACCATGCAGCCTACTGCGCAAACGTGGCAACGTGGCAACGTGGCCGCAGGACAGAACAGTTCCAGCACTTTCCTCTGACTATACATGGTGGTGGGGGTGTGCTGTGGCGACAGTTCCAACTCATAATAGGGTTTCTGAGGGGAGCAGAAAGCCTCACCATAGTTTTGATCTACTGACCTTGAGGTTAGCAGCCTGACTAGCCTACCACTAAGCTATCCACAGGACACTCCTGTGGCTATTCTTATTCACTTTTTAAGGATGAGGAAGTGGAGGCTCAGAGAGATTAAATAACTTGTTCAAGGCTACAAAGCTAGTCAGTGGTGGTATAAAGATGCACGTAAGGAGTCCTGGTGTGGCGCTGTGGGCTGATGCCTTAGACTGCAAGGTCGGTGGTTCAAGCTTACCAGCTGCTCCTTGGAAACCCTAAACAGGGTCGTTGTGGGTCAGAATCCACTCGACAGCACTTAACAACAACAAACTATGGGTTAATGCACCAGACTGCAAAGCCATTTGAACTGCAAGGTCGGCGGTTCAAGCTCACCAGCTGCTCCTTGGAAACCCTATACAGGAACATTATGGATTGGAATCTAATAGATTCTGGTAGCATAGTGGTTATGAATCGGGTTGCGAACCTCAGGGTCAGCAGTTCGAAACTACCAGCTGTTCCACGGGAGAAAGATGTGGCTTTCTGCTCCTATAAAGATTTACAGCCTGGGAAACCCTGCACAGGGTCGCTATGAGTCGGAACCAACTCCACGCACATAACAACAAGTCCCCCACGGCTGGGGCAGAGCTGTATGTGGGGGGCAGTCTAGGAGTTTTGGGGCACACAGAGCAGGAACATGGAGCCCAGGAGGTGACAATGAGACTTGCAGGTGAGTCTACACTATCCAGGGGCTGAGTGGGGCTGAGGGTGGGCGTGGAGGGGAGAGGCTCTAGTCTTGACCCAGTAAAGTCAGGAGCATTTTCCACAGACTTTTGCTCTCATCTTCATTATTTTCTGCTTATTTGGATTAGTGGGCTGTTCTTTTCTAGTTTGAAATGGAAGCGAAGATATTTCTTTTTTTTTTTTCTTTCTAATATATGCATTTAAAAGGACCCCTGATGGTGCAGTGGTTAAGCACAAAGGTGTTAACTGAAATGCTGGTGGTTGGACCCCACCCAGCGGTCCCATGGAAGAAAGCCCTGAAAATACTCCATTGAAGATTGTTTTTCTTGTTAAGGGTTGTCAAGTCAGTTCCGACTCATAGTGACTCTGTATAGGGTTTCCAAGGAGTGACTGGTGGGTTTGAACCGGTCTAGTGTTATTTCTACAGTGCCACAGCCTAGAGATCCCTGTGGGGCAATTCAACTCTGTCATGTGGGGTAGCTATGAGTTGGAACCGGCTTAATACTGCACCCCCCCGCCCCCAAACACACAGGCATTTAAAGCTATAATGATTCCCAGGCAGAGTTTTCTTCAGTATCCCATTATTCATGTGTTGTGTTTTGAAGTCCTTTGACTTCAAAACATTATCAAATTTCCACTTGGATTTCTTCTTTGAATCCTGGGCTCTTCAGAAGTGTGGGGTATCATTTCCAAATAGCTGGGCAGTTGTCTTTCTGTTACTGAGTTTTACTTTGATTGCACAGTGGTCGGAAAGCAAGAAGGTGACTTCAAAGTAGATGCAGGTGAATTTTCAGTCATGAAAAACCTGAAGTGGAAGGGAGGTTGTGGTGGGAGGGGATGGTCCTTCAGCATCAGCCCCTTCCTCCACCCAGAGCTGCCTCCTCCTGACCTAATTGACCCCTCCTTCTGCGGGGGCTGTCTTGCTTGTCCTAGGGTCCTGACTTTGGATACGTAACCCGGGAGCTCCAATTCAGCGGTGCCTCCAGTCTCGATTCCTTCGGCAACCTGGATGTCAGCCCACCTGTCACAGTGGGCGGCAAGGAGTACCCCCTGGGCCGGATCCTCATTGGAAGCAGCTTTCCCAAGTGAGAGGCTGGGGCTGGAGGGGCAGGTGGGCATGAGGAGCAACTGCTGTACCCAAGCCCCAGCACCCTCTGCTTGATCAGCCTTCCCCAGGCTGCATGGAGAGTCCTAGAACCTTAGATTCTAGTGGCCACAGAATCTGAGGAGAAGAAAAGATTCACAAACTAGTGACATGCAGGCCCCTCTGGTGGCACAAGTGATTTGCACTCAAGCACTGGATTGTGAACTATAAGGTTGGTGGTTCAAACCCACCAGCTGCTCCTTGGGAACTCTATACAGGGTCACAATGAGTCAGAACTGACTCGATGGCAACATCAACTACCCTAATGCCTGACAGATCAAATGCACCTCAGAAGAAAAGCGTGGTAGCCTGCATCCGTAAAGACGGCTGTTGTTGCTAAGTGTTGTCCGTTGGGTTCCAGCTCACAGCAACCCTGTATATAGTTTCCGAAGAGTGACTGGTAGGTTTGCAGTTAGCAGTTGACCTTGTGGTTAGCAGTCCTGGGCTTACCCCACAGAGTCACACCAGAACCCCTCCGCAAAGATTACAGCCTAGGAAACCCTATGGAAGAGTTCTGCTCTGTAACACATGGGGTCTCCAAGAGTCAGATTTGAGTTGACGGGGATGGGTTTTCAATGGCCTGTCTAGTATTTTATGAGCTTAAACACTGTGGGGTAAACACTGGACTACAAGATTAGTTTGAACCTCAAGGTCGGTGGTTCAAACTCCCCGGCTGCTCCTTGGAAACCCTATGAGTGGGAACCGACTCGACGGCACTTCACAACAACAAATAGTTACTGACATTAAAAAGGATGTCTTACAGAATGCTGGGTTTCCATCTTCTCCAGAGACACTGGGAAAGCTGGGGAGGTAATGTGTAATCAGGCATAGAGGCAGGGGAATGGACCTGTTGACCCCTCCAATTCTAAGGTCCAAAGGCTGCTGTAATGGTGGTGGTTTAAAAGCACCCAGGGAGGGGAACTGCAGGTGAGTGGGTGGTGGTCAGGACACCAGGGTAACAGAAGTGACCAGGTGAGTCCCACCCTGGGCAGGTGTGGTCAGGCAGGAAACACGGTGTTTGGGGTTTAGTCCTTAAGCAGGTAACCGTGTCTGCTAAATCTCACTGAGTGGGTCCCTGCCCCACCTGCTGGCAACTGAAGGACCGGGTGTGCAGCTCAGGATCCTGGTGGGGCCCTCTGCCTCCTGCCCAGAGATGATGCCCACAAGAGGCCCTGAAGGCCACCTTCCCATTTGTATGGTGTTGGCATGGAGCCCCGCCCTCCTCTAGCTTGCTAGCCCCCTAGGCCCTGACCGACTGTCTGGATTTGGTACAGAGGAGTCAGGAGGTGCTGGGAGGGTCACAGCCTGGCCGCCTTGGGGCTCTGACTCATAGGTGAGGCTTCCTGGCACCAACCCCAGGCACATGACCCAGGTGCCCGGTGCTGAGGTTGGCCAGGGCAAGAGGAGTGTGTTCACCCTGATGTGACTCATGCCCAGCTCTACTCTGGGCGGGCTCCCACCCACACCTCAAGGGTGAAGGGCCTAGAGGCCCCAGGGCAGCTTTCTGTGACTATAGGAGACTCCAGGGGGAGAGGCATGGGCTTTAGAATCAGACAGACTCAGTTTCAAGTCCTAGCTCTGTCACTTAGGAGCCATAAGCTTACCACAATTCCCTGATGCCTGATGAATTCACTAAAAAAATACAGCACATGACGATGTGACTGGCACTGCCAAAGGTACTGGGGAGAAAGCAGAGAATGAGACCGATTAAAAACTCCATTTTTTATAGTCTAAGCCTCAGCTTTCTGTCAAATGAGACAAGATATTGTCCTAGCTTTGTAATCAGTGTTAGAGAGGAAGAATTCCTACGCCACCTGCCTAGCACTTAGGTAGTATTCAGCTGGCCCTCTGGAAAGTGGATCTGCTTTGAAGCAGGTCAGAACCCATTTAACAAAAGGTATTGATCAACTACTATGTACTTACTTCTCGTACTTTCCGCAGGTTACCTCATTTAATTCCTACAACAACCTTTAGAGGTTGGGACTATTATCCTCGTTTTATAGGTGAAGAAGCCAAGGTTTAGAAAAGTAAAGTTAGATTCATTCATGCATGCATTCATTTCCTAATTCAATAAACCTTGATCGGGGCCTCCCATCTGCTAGACCTGAGGTCCAGTGCTGGAGAGAGAGAAATGACTGAGACAGACAAGGAACCAGCCCTATTGTCTAGTGAGGGAGACAGGCAACTGAGCAAGCAATTATACCCCAGTGGGTTCAGAGAAAAAGGAGCTCTGCTGAGGTGGTGGGCTAAACATTAGGCTGCTAACCAAAAAGTCAGAGGTTTGAACCCACCCACAGCTCCGAGGGAGAAAGATGAGGCAATCTTTGTCTGTAAAGACAGACAAGCACAGAAACTCTAGGGAGTAGGTCTACTCAGTCCTACAGGGTCACGGTGAGTCAGAACTGACTCCGCAGTAGTGGGCTTGGGACCAGAAAGGAGATCACATATGATCTAATCTGGGTGTCACGGAAGGCTTCTTAGAGGCAACAACAATATTGATTAAGAGCAATGGTCAAGGCGGGGCAGATCTGGGCCAGTGAAGACAGGAGCAAAGACAGGGGCAGTGGGACCATGTGCTGGGAGAGGGAAGTGCGTGATCAAAGATCTGGAAGCCAGAGAAAGCATGGCTCAGTAGAGAGCAGCTTGGTGGGCTGGAGGGCTGACCCAGGTGTGTAGGGGAACCTGTATTCAGTCTGCTAAGGGGAGGTGACCTTCGCCTCCATCAGCATGGAGACCCAGTCTCAGATGCAAAGAGCTCAGAGAAGCAAGCTCAGGGCAGCGATGGGGCTCTTTGTATAGTCCCTAAGGGCTTTGCTCTTTTCTTCTGACCTTGGGTCCCTGTCCCAGTCTCTACATTGCTCCATCTGCACCCCAGCCCCAGGTCTGCTAGTCAGTGGCTGGGTTGGGAGCCTTCTTTCAGCTCAAGACCACAGGAATCCAGAGGGGGTGAGGGGTCTCTAGTATGACCATGACCCACCTTGTTGGCTGTTGTGTGGAGAACCAAGAAAAAGGTCCTTGGTAGACAGATGGGGCTATGAAGCTCAGAGAGGGACAGCTACTTACCTGGTACCACATAGCAAGTTAGTGGTATAGTCACTGTTTCCCTTCTCCTTGGGGCCCAAACTAAAATGTAACATCCCAGGCTGCTTTCTGTGTTCCTGTCTTGTCTTCTGACTTCAGCAGTGAACAAAACAGGCAACTTACATGCATTCTGACAGGGAAAAACTGACAAAAAGTAAACACAAATAAGTAAATCATATTGCGTGCTGGGTAAGGGAAACCTCAGTGAAAAGCTGACATTTAAACAAAGTTTTGAAAGAAGTGAAGGAGTTAACAGTGTGGCTACTTGGTCAGAGTAGGAACAGCCAGTGCAAAGGCCCTGAGGTAGATGAGTACCTGAGACATTAGAACAGCAAGGAGCCTGGTGAGACTGGAGCAGAATGAGTGAGGTGGAGACAAGATCAAAGAGTTAGACAGAGTTCAGGTCATAACTTGAAGCTGATATTTGTTCATATAACATGGGGTTATCACGAAGACTAAACAAGAAAGTTAGTGTGAGGCGGCTAAGACACAGAGCTGATGTTTTAAAACATCTTGTCTGTTCATTCTTTGCTATCTTGGAGGTGATGGTGGTTATGTACTATGGAGTCAGTTCCAACTCATAGGGTTTCTGAGGCTGTACATCTTTATGGGAGCAGAAAGCCTCATCTTTCTCCCATGGAACCACTGGTAGTTTCGAACTGTTGACCTTGCGGTTCACAGCCTGATTCGTAAC